AATAAATTGTCAAATAAATAAAAAAAATTGTTTTTAAACAAATTAGGTGGTTTATTTGACAATTTATTTATTAAAATAATGCATATTCGTAATGTACGCAAAAAGTACATACAAGTTCAAAAAGAAACGTTAAAATACATAAAAAAGGAACAGAGATACAGTTAACAGCGCCTTCCCCCTCCCTTCAGCTCCCGAGAGTTTCAAAGCCGACCGATTTTACATACATTTTGAAGCTTTGTGGACAAAGGTGCTATGGATTAAATAAAAAAAGAAGCTAACTTTGTACCCAATTATTTTAGGACAAACTTTTTTCTACTTAAATTTGTGAAAAAATTCAAGCTTTTTAAATATGTAAAAATAATATTTTTACAGTCAATTGGTTAAAAAATTATTCTAATTGTTTATAAGCAAAAAATCGACATGTTTTTGCAAAATTATTTTGCAATATTTAAAATTCATTTACTTAATATTTTGTTAATGTAAATAATAAAACAAGTCTTCTTCTACCACAAACAATCCTTACAATTACTAAAACTGTATAAATTTCTGACTTATATTGTTGCAAAACATGTTAATTTGGGATAAACAAATAAAATAACTTTTAAACTATTGGACCGATCACTTTAAAATTTCAACCCTATTTTAAGAACTGCAAGATACATCATTCCATGAAATATAAATATTATAAGTTTATTTTCAAAAAAGTTATTAACATTTATCAAAAACCGAAATTTTTGACTTATTTTGCAACTTTCTAAGCAACAAATAAGGATAGAAACATTTAGAAAACGCCATTTTGAAGGTTTTTATATAACTTATAAGTTTCCTTTCTTCTAAAATTTGTTTAAATTGCTTCACTTTATGCTGATAGACGAAAAAAGCAAAAATTTTTCGTTTTTTGACCTTAATTTGTTAATAACTACTTAATTAAGTCCAAAAAATCGACTGCAGGAAACATATAGGTTTTTGTTACAGAGGTCCGTACTACTCAAAACAACTGTTGTTTGTCTGGCCGGACGAGTGTCATGAAAAATGCTTATTTCCCTGGGCTAATAATCGTTATACGTAAGTAATTAAAAGGCTAATAGGTAGTTTAAACTATATTATGTAACATATTTGTCATTAATAAAAAAGAACATTTAACGAAAACTTTTTAATTTCCACCCTTTAAAATATTTACAGCTTTTAAATTTATACAGGGTTATCCTTAAGTAATTGTATGAAAAGAAACTGTAGATTCTACACTTTAAAATATTACGATTTAAGTCAAGTTACTTTAATAAAATGTTAATACAGGGTGTTAAAGTTGAAATTTAAAATTTTATTTTTTGCTATAACTTTCATGTTTGTCAACATTTATGTATAAAAATTTACAACTGGGTATTATAAAATATCAGAAATTATAATTTAATGTACACTTTGATATAGCTGATAGAGGGCGCCACACATGCCACATATGTGGCATACATTTGCACTTTACTTTTTTGCTCTTTAAGTTACCGGTATTTTTAATAAAAAATATTAAAGACACATTATTTTAACAAAAAACAGGTATACTTGTTAATATCTCCAAAACTCAACAGTTTTCGAGATAATCGCATTTTAGAAATCAACTACATAATTCTGATTTATCGCAATTACTCCAGGCAACGAAAGAAAATTAAAGAGAAACATCAATACTTCTTAATTTTGGTATAAAATACCTTTCATAAAGTTAATAGTTATCGAATTATTAAATAAAATAAATATATCAGCAGGATAAAATAATAGGATTTGATAAATATCAGAATAATTGGATTTTACATCAAACATTTTACGTTTTGTTTTAAATTAAAGTCATAATACAAACATTTTATTTACAAACCAAATTAAGAAATAGTTAAACTAAATAACATTAAACTTTTTGTCAAAGTAAGTGTTCAATATGTCCACCATTTTCTTTATTTCATTTGTCAATACATTCCATAAAATATCGTCTCATATTAAATAGCATCATTGGTTCTAAATAAACTGCTGCAGTGTTTATTATAAGTGCTATAAGTATAATAATAAGTAATTTTTTTTGAAATTTTTATGAATTAAATAGTTATATTAATATCTCACTACAAGAATATTACTACCACGAACAATCCAATGTTCAGGAAAGTTGTATTTAAATACTGTCTCATTCCGCTTTCTCTGTAATGTAATGGTGTACCATCTTGTAGAAACCACATATTTCGCCTTAATTTTGATGGCAACCAAATAAAAGCTGTGCTACATTTCCTTAGAGATGAACACCTATATCAAAAAATATAATTAGATTTTAATTTAGACATTGTGTAACATATTATTATCATTCCGTATTATTGTAACATATTCTTAATGTAACACTTATTGTTTGTGTAATGAAAACTCATGTTATAGTACCTGTGTAAGGGGCCATAGTAGCCGAGCACGTTAACGTCGAAATAAAAAAAAATTCTTCCAATAAATTAATAAAATCATTTTAGAAAAAATGTAAATAAATCTCTACATTCAAATTGCAAAGTAATTCGCATATCCGTAAAAAATAATTACCAATGATTTTGAATGATATTTTACGGATATGCGAATTACTTTGCAATTTGAATGGTGAGATTTATTTACATTTTTTATAAAATTATTTTATTGATTTATTGGAAGAATTTTCATCACACTTAGGGCTAAATATGTGGTTTATATAAGATGGTACACCAATACGTGACAGAGAAAGGAGAGTGAAAAGAGTATTTAAAAACAAGTTTCCTGAACGTTGGATTGTTCGTGGTAGTCATATTACTTGGTCATCTGATGCGATATTAATATAATTATTTAATTCATAAAAATCACAAAAGAATACCTATTATTATACTTATAACAAAAACTTATACTACTTATAACAAGTACAGCAGCACTTTCTTTAGAACCAATGATGCTATTTAATATGAGACGATATATTATGGAATGTATTGACAAATGAATTAAAGAAAATGGTGGATATATCGAACACTTACTTTGACAAAAAGTTTAATATTATTTAGTTTAACTATTTCTTCATATGGCTTGAGTAGATATACAAGGCGGGCCTCACTACAGACATAGGGAAAACAATGTGTTAGAGAGAGAAGGATCTTTTAGTGAGTAAGAGTGAGATAGATGATGTCACGTCGAAGGAATCTCCTCTACCGTAATTGAACTATTGTCCGCTAGGTGGCGCCGCCATTTTTAATCCAATTTTAAATTAAAATATTAAATAAATTAAAAATTTTAAACAAAGGAATCTACATTACCGACTGTCATAGTTCAGCTATACGCTAGTTGGCGACGCCAAACGTTCGCCATTTTTAGTCCAATGTAAGCTAGTTGGCGCTATTTTTTAAATTAAAATATTAAATAAATTTTAACGCAATTTTTATAGTTCTGTGCGGAACGCTCTTCTTCTTTTTGTTAACTGTCAATTCTTCTCTCCGCAACTGCCAATTATTTTTTCCGTAGTCATGAACAATAAAGGTTGTAGGTCTGCAGTTCCTAAACGGCTTAACGTATAGAGATATGCGACGTATCATTCTTCTTCTTTTTCCGAAGAGTCATGGACAATAACGATTGTAGGTATGTAGTGCCTAAACGGCTTAACGTAGAGGCATGAGCAAGATAACATGTGATAGACGAATATAATTGAATGGTATAGAAAAATTAAACATCATATCATACCATAAAGGCATTAGATATGTATATTTATGCCTATTGGTCCGACCGTAACGTATGAGGGGTCGTTGGAAAGGAAAGAAGGCGATAAGTACAAATCTATAGAAAAATTATACATGAAGATGAACTATAAAGGTCTTAGGTATGTGATCCTACACGGCTTAACGTACTAGGATGTGCGAGATATCATATGATAGACGTATAAAATTAAATGGTATAGAAAGATTAAACATATCATAATGCCATAAAGGCATTGGATTTTTAACAAAATAGACATATTTTAACTAGATATTAATAACAAAGAATTAAACTCTCAAAACTGTCTCAATAGACTAGAATGTATAGTGAAATTAAATAGCATACCATAAAGACATTAGATATGTATATTTACGCCTATTGGTCCGATCGTAACATATGAGGGGTAGTTGAAAAGGAAAGAAGGCGAGAGGTGCAAATCTATAGAAAAATTATACGTGAAGATGAACTCTAAAGGTCTTGAGGTCTTGATCCTACACGGCTTAACGTACAGGGATGTGCGAGATATCATATGATAGACGTATAAAATTAAATGGTATAGAAAGATTAAACATATCATTATGCCATAAAGGCATTATATTTTTGACATAATAGACATATTTTAACTGGATATTAATAACAAAGAATTAAACTCTCAAAGTTGTCTCAATAGACCAGAATGTATAGTGAAATTAAAAAGCATACCATAAAGACATAATATATGTATATTCACGCCTATTAGCCCAGTCGGAACGGATAAGGGGTAATTGGAAAGGAAAGAAGGCGATAGGTGCAAATCTATAGAAAAAATATACGTCAAGATGAACTATAAAGGTCTTAGGTATGCGATCCTGCACGACTTAACGTACAGGGATGAGCGAGATATCATATGATAGACGTATAAAATTAAATGGTATAGAAAGATTAAACATATTTTTATGCCATATAGGCATTAGATTTTTGACAAAATAGACATATTTTAACTAGATATTAATAACAAAGAATTAAACTCTCAAAGCTGTCTCAATAGACTAGAATGTATAGTGAAATTAAATAGCATGCCATAAAGACATTAGATATGTAACTTCACGCCTATTAGCCCAGTCGTAACGTATGAGGGATAATTGGAAAGGAAAGAAGGCGAAAGGTACAATTAGAAAAAATTTAAACACAACACGTCATAAAAAACATTAGATATATAAGTAATAGAATAAAAAATAATAATACATTTTTTTGTACATATACACATATCGTATATCTATTTTCTATTCTTGAAGGAATTATTCTTGTAGTTCCCTATACCAATACAGTTGCCCTCCTTCTTTCCGAATATGGACTTCTGGAGCATCCAAAAGGTAATTTCCTGTAATGTGCTGTTCCATAAATTCAGTATCATCACCGGCAAGGGGTTTCGTGGACCATGTATATCGTTGAACGTATGATACATATTCGAGCCCTGCAAAGTACCGACATGCTGAAATAAGCTGTTGCTTGTTATGTACCAATACAGGATTGATGATTCCCATTCGGAAAATTTTTAGAACAAGTCTGTAAATAAAGTAAATTCAAAAATCGCATCATATTTTTTATACCGCATATTTGCAGTCACATATTTATTAAATCATACTCTCTACAAAACAGCAATTTTTCTCAAGATTGAAAATAATCGCAAGAAAACTAAAATTTAACAATACATGCTAAGAAACTCATAATAAAACATAAACAAAAATTTTAAATCAAAAGTCTTTTAGTTTAGAGAAATTCGACTGAAAAAATTAGATAATATGCAAGTTATGACTATATTCAAAAACAAGATATTGGAAAAGAACTAACATGTATGAATAAAACTAAAACAAAATGTGTCTCTGGTGCGGGACTAACCTGATGCAATGAGTATTGGGGTAAAACAGAAACAAACAAAAAATGTGTCTAAAACAGAAGGTTTGTAAGAGAAAAAAGATCGTAAAATTTCAAATTAAAAGAAGTTTAGAATAACTCGACAGAGAAAATTACATAACTACGTATAAACAAGTTACAAATATAAGCGAAAATAGAATGAAATATTAGAAAAGAACTAGTATGTATGAACTAAACTAAAAAATGTGTCTCTGTTGCGAGACGCTAACATAATGCAACGGAGAAAACTAAAACAAAAAAATATCTAAACAGGTCTGTACGAGAAAAGCAATCACAAAATTTCAAAGCAAAAGACTTTTAATTTAGAGTAATTCGACAGAGAGATATTAGAAAAGAACTAGTATGTATAAATAAACCTAAAAATGTGTCTTTGGTGCGGGATTCTAATCTATTGCAAAGAGACGCGAAATAAAACAGAGACAGAAAAATGTATCTAAAAAGAAGGTCTGTACTCGTAAGAGAAGAAATAACGCAAAATTTCATAAGTCTTTTAGTTTAGAGTAATTCGACAAAGAAAATGTATACAAATTACGAATATAATAAAAGAAAGAGTGAATATTATGAAAGAACTACTATGTATGAATAAAATTACAAAAACGTGTCTCTTGTGCGAGACTCTAACCTGATACAACGCTACGATACGCTGGAAGGAAAAAAAAATCGAGACATACAGATAAGAACTTAGAACCATAAACTGTATTGTAATTTTAAACATAAAAGTAAAAAATAATTTATAAAGAATCATTTGCCTATATATTAACTGTAATCAATTTAACAGACTAGAAACTGATTTTTCTTGCTCTCAAACTAGAATAGGTACTAATATTTTAGTAATTCCCGAATTTCCAAATTTATATCAATGTCTAGCAGTAACAGTTTCTTTAATATTCTACTAAAAGATCATTAAATATTAGTTCTATAGCGATTATGCACAAAATTGATGGAAAGTTTGTAGATAATATGAATTAACTTGTATTTTATTAGTGTACACTTATTTTCCCAAATTGCATGTCTTAATATAATATTTGTACGTAACACTCGCATTATTTTCGTATTGACATTAATTACAAGTTACGAATGTAATCAAAAATACAACAATATATTAGAAAAAAACTAATATGTATAAATAAACTTAAAAATGTGTCTCTGGTGCGGGATTCTAATCTGTTGCAAAGAAACGCGAGATAAAACAGAGACAGAAAAATGTGTCTAAAAGAAGCTCTTTACTCGTAAGCCAAGAAATAACACAAAATTTTATAGCAAAAGTCTTTTAGTTTACTGAAGGTAAGCCTTCAAGTAAAAGCATTTGGAAAGCGAGGAATTGGGAGAAGAACCCGAGGAAATGGTTCTTCACAACAACTAATATATTTAAAGTATCAGTTAATAAAATAATTATATTCAGAATGATCGTCAATATTCGAAACGAATAGACACCAAAAGAAAGAGAAGAAAATCCATCTGAGAGATGTGTGAAGATATGATCGCATTTAATAAATAGAATTGAACGATATATGCAAATTAAATATTATAAAAGCCTTACATGGAAATATTAGGATTTAGCCAACAGATTACAATGATAGAAAAATCATACGAGCCTTGTAATATTCCTATAGTTAAAATTGATATACGGAACAATTAGAAACTTTCTTAACTGTCTTATAATTATAATTGTATGAAACCAAACTGGTTTATCAGATATTTTGGCTTCTTCACGTATCCGTCAATTGCTCTCTACCATATTTTCTGTCTGTGTTGGGTCTATCTGACCCAGTAGCCTTCCCTTTCCTTATTTTTGAAGTGCTTAAACCATTTAGAAGAGAATTGGTATATAACAAAAATAAATGTCTCTTCCATTGCATAGATAAAATCTTGTACGAACTTTCTGCTTTTATCCAGTCTTGATTTGTAGATTTTTTCGTTTATATGTGCAACATGTTTTAGTCTGATTTTGGTCTTTTTGTTTCTGTTCTGACTAAAATATTAGTTCTATCTTTGCGTATATTCGTAACTTGTGTACACGTATATATGTATTCCCGAATTTCCAAATTTATATATAATGTTTTATCCTACTCTTCAAAACGATCCTACAAAACTTTCTGAACCACGAATCTGAGACTATAAGCCAAGGGTTCATAGAAAAATTCATTTGTACATTTAGTACTCTAGAATCTATTGCATCAGATCAAGAATCAGATTTTATGTCCAATCTTTTCAAAAATTTAGCAAAACTCTTTTTAATATTCTACTATAATCGATTCAATAAAGTGTCTAAAAGAAGCTCTGTACTCATAAGCGAAGAAATAACGCAAAATTTTATGTCAAAAGTCTTTTAGTTTATTTAAGATAAGCCTTCAAGTAAAAGCATTCGGAAGGCGAGGAATTGGAAGAAGAACCTGAGCAAATGGTTCCTCACAACAACTAATATATTTAAAGCATTAGTTAATAAAATAATTATATCCAGAATGATCCTCAATATTCGAAACGGATAAAACCAAAAGAAAGAAAAGAAAATCTGCGTAGAGAGATGTGCAAAGATATGATCGCATTTAATAAATAGAATTGAACGATATAGGCAAATTAAATATTATAAAAACCTTACATGCAAATATTAGGATTTAGCCAACAGATTACAATGATAGAAAAATCATACGGGCCTTGTAATATTCCTATAGTTAAAATTGATATACGGAAAATTAGAAACTTTCTTAACAAAATACGTCAAGCTAATTTATATATTATTATGAAAATGCAATTAATGATCCATTACAATGTTAATTTACTACTACTAGACAATGATATAAAATACACGAAATTCAAGAAAGCCAGTGTATTCCAGTTCCAGTTTAATTCTGTTCTGTTGGTACATTGCAAATAGAAGTAAGTGATAACTATTGTTTTAATTTATTGATTGTTTTCTGATTTTTTGTTTTTGATTATATTTGTAACATGGTATTTTAAATATTATTTTTATGTGCTGTTAGATTGAAAACTTAGTCTTTTTTAAACTAAAATACTTTAGAGATCTCTTTTTCTCTTAGATATATATTTTTTTGTTGTTTTATTTTATTTTCTTTGTTCCTGTATTTTTCCTTCAACTGTCTAATAATTATTATAATTGTATGAAACCAAACTGGTTTATCAGATATTTTGGCTTCTTCACGTATCCGTCAATTGCTCTCTACTATATTTTTCACGGTGTGACTAAGTAGTATTCTTTTGTAAATATACACTAATACACTGCTTTTCCATTCATCTGGCGTTTGTCCAACTTTTATAATTATACTAAATAAACCTGTTGGCCATCTTGTTTCTGTCTTTGATACTGTATCCACAGTTTCCCAGGAATATCATCTGACCCAATAGCCTTCCCTTTCTTTATTTTCGAGTGCTTGAACCATTTAAAAGAGAAGTTGTATATATAAAAAAAAATGTCTCTTGCATTGCAGAGATAAAATCTTGTGCGAACTTTGTGCTTTTATCTAGAGTCTTGATTTCTCGATTTTTTCGTTTATATGTGCAACATGTTTTAGTCTGGTTTTGATCTTTTTGTTTCTGTTCTGACTCAAATATTAGTTCTATAAGGCAAATGGATGCTTCTCTGAGGACATTATAATACATCATATTTTTTTATTTTGCAGATAATGGCATCAAAGTTAGAAAACTTGTGCATAAAATCAATATGTTGTAATATTACCAATCTAGCAAACTTCATTAAATATTCACCACTACCATGGATATTGACTAAAACGATTGCAAATAATTATTCCGATTATAAATGGAATATACTAAACGAGCAAGCCCCTAACGGACCTTTTGCCGACATTCAGTTTGTTGACTGTTCAAATATAATGTCACCACGAATGAGAAATGCAGTTTTATCAGCCAATGAATCTGATCATGGATATGATGATGATAATGAAAAGTGTGTATGGAATTATTTTTATAGAATCACTAATTATAATATTAATGTTTGTAAAAATTGTTTTAAGAAGTTCAACTTAGCTCACAAATTACATAAAAAATCGTTACGTACAGTATTTGAACATTATCATATTGTTTTTGAGAGTAAGTTAATGCTATCAGAAGTATATCAAAATATGTTTTATTGGTGTCAGAGTTGTTTTAAACAAGTTTTATTTAAAGTTAAGGAAATGGAATCATGTATGTATTCACTACACCATGCATCTCCACAAAAACATAGATTTATTAGTTCAGATGATAGTGATTCTAGCATAGATACTTTAATTGGATATTAAAAACTAAAAATTACTTTATTGTACAATATTGTTTTTTTTTCTTTACCCTTTTGAAAATATGAAAATAAAACACAAGTGATACATAAGTACTATTTATTAACAACTAAAGTTATCCAAGTCATTTACAACTTTTATTTTATAATAATATACATATTCTCTCATAGCATGGCTTAGCAAAGTATCTGGTGGAGAAATTTCACAAAACGCAGTTATAGCTTCAGAGGGGCCATATAAACTAGTATCAGTACAAAAATTCTGTTGCATAACATATACAACATTTGTATAATATGCATAAAAGTTTAAATTTTCCACCATCGATATACGATGAGTCACTATACTGTGGTGTACTTGCAGAATTTGCGTGACGTCATTTTCACCTAGATAGTATTCCACACCATCATTTTCAATGACAAGGAACTTGATTGAATCCAACACCAATTGTCGTATTTTGCAGTAGTCTCCACACTGAAACTCAATAAGATCATATTTATCTGCATAGAAAAAAATCATTCATCTTTTGTGTAAACAGTTTAATTATGTTACTCCACTCAAATTTGTCTATACTAATTCTTCGAACATCGAATAGTTCTTCCTTTATGATATGTTGAAATAAAATGACGGATGACGTAAAATGTCTAGCTGGAGATAGACCAACTTTAATTATGTAATTATCCAATGGAAAGGATGCTTCGAACAAGTAGTACCTATGGTTCGTTCTTCGCAGCTTCTTAGAATTTTGCTAAAAACTCGGTCTAGGTCAGCACCATAATTGATTTTACTTGATTATGAATCATCTAATACCACTATAGTACTTGATGAACTATAACCACTATCTTAAGAGCTTATGTTGAACTAGCTGAGAGCGATATGAACTAACTGAGAGCGAGGTTGCTGAGATTTAAACTAGGACATAAACAAACCATCGACGAACAATTTTCCGTTCCAATTTTAATACTAAATGACCTCGAAAATAATTATTCCAATATCATTGATTTAATCTTATTCTATAAATCAAATTCGATTTCAATCAACATGGTAGTTAAAGTCGATCAAATAATACATCACAGATGTTATTCTTATCAACATCCATCTGCGTCGTATGTAGGAAGATATATTAAATAGGTACCTATATTGTTAAAGACATCTGTAAACTCGCAAAATATTTCTGTTACTAAGACGATGTTTAACTCTTTTTTAACGTTTTTTAATTGCTTTTCATGGCTTTTCTCTCGACGATAATTTTTCTATTTTAACTCTAATGCTAAATGACTTTGAAAATTAATATTCCAATATCATCCATTCAATCTTATTTTCTAAATCAAAAACAGTTTGAACATAACATAACTCGAACATAAGTCGATCCTACTATGTATGAATAAAACTAAAACTTGTACGTAGATACAAATTATGGATGTAATCAAAAATACAACGAGATATTAGAAAAGAACTAATATGTATAAATGAACCTAAAAAAAAAATGTGTCTCTCAACCGAGATTCTAATCTGTTGTAACGAGTGGACGCGAGCTAAAACAGAGACAGAAAAATAGTTCCAACAAGAAGGTCTGTTAGAGAAGAAATAAAGAAAAATTTCAAGCAAGAGTCTTTTAGATTTAAGTCATTTACAACTTTTATTTTATAATAATATACATATTCTCTCATAGCTTGGCTTAACAAAGTATCTGGTGGAGAAATTTCACAAAACGCAGTTATAGCTTCAAACGGGCATGCTGACATGACGCTGCGTCTTCGACGCTTGCACCTAACTTCACGCGCAGCGTGAAGTTAGGGGCAAGTCAGCGTCATGTCAGCATGCCCGTTTGAAGCTATAACTGCGTTTTGTGAAATTTCTCCACCAGATACTTTGTTAAGCCAAGCTATGAGAGAATATGTATATTATTATAAAATAAAAGTTGTAAATGACTTAAATCTAAAAGACTCTTGCTTGAAATTTTTCTTTATTTCTTCTCTAACAGACCTTCTTGTTGGAACTATTTTTCTGTCTCTGTTTTAGCTCGCGTCCACTCGTTACAACAGATTAGAATCTCGGTTGAGAGACACATTTTTTTTTTAGGTTCATTTATACATATTAGTTCTTTTCTAATATCTCGTTGTATTTTTGATTACATCCATAATTTGTATCTACGTACAAGTTTTAGTTTTATTCATACATAGTAGGATCGACTTATGTTCGAGTTATGTTATGTTCAAACTGTTTTTGATTTAGAAAATAAGATTGAATGGATGATATTGGAATATTAATTTTCAAAGTCATTTAGCATTAGAGTTAAAATAGAAAAATTATCGTCGAGAGAAAAGCCATGAAAAGCAATTAAAAAACGTTAAAAAAGAGTTAAACATCGTCTTAGTAACAGAAATATTTTGCGAGTTTACAGATGTCTTTAACAATATAGGTACCTATTTAATATATCTTCCTACATACGACGCAGATGGATGTTGATAAGAATAACATCTGTGATGTATTATTTGATCGACTTTAACTACCATGTTGATTGAAATCGAATTTGATTTATAGAATAAGATTAAATCAATGATATTGGAATAATTATTTTCGAGGTCATTTAGTATTAAAATTGGAACGGAAAATTGTTCGTCGATGGTTTGTTTATGTCCTAGTTTAAATCTCAGCAACCTCGCTCTCAGTTAGTTCATATCGCTCTCAGCTAGTTCAACATAAGCTCTTAAGATAGTGGTTATAGTTCATCAAGTACTATAGTGGTATTAGATGATTCATAATCAAGTAAAATCAATTATGGTGCTGACCTAGACCGAGTTTTTAGCAAAATTCTAAGAAGCTGCGAAGAACGAACCATAGGTACTACTTGTTCGAAGCATCCTTTCCATTGGATAATTACATAATTAAAGTTGGTCTATCTCCAGCTAGACATTTTACGTCATCCGTCATTTTATTTCAACATATCATAAAGGAAGAACTATTCGATGTTCGAAGAATTAGTATAGACAAATTTGAGTGGAGTAACATAATTAAACTGTTTACACAAAAGATGAATGATTTTTTTCTATGCAGATAAATATGATCTTATTGAGTTTCAGTGTGGAGACTACTGCAAAATACGACAATTGGTGTTGGATTCAATCAAGTTCCTTGTCATTGAAAATGATGGTGTGGAATACTATCTAGGTGAAAATGACGTCACGCAAATTCTGCAAGTACACCACAGTATAGTGACTCATCGTATATCGATGGTGGAAAATTTAAACTTTTATGCATATTATACAAATGTTGTATATGTTATGCAACAGAATTTTTGTACTGATACTAGTTTATATGGCCCCTCTGAAGCTATAACTGCGTTTTGTGAAATTTCTCCACCAGATACTTTGCTAAGCCATGCTATGAGAGAATATGTATATTATTATAAAATAAAAGTTGTAAATGACTTGGATAACTTTAGTTGTTAATAAATAGTACTTATGTATCACTTGTGTTTTATTTTCATATTTTCAAAAGGGTAAAGAAAAAAAAAACAATATTGTACAATAAAGTAATTTTTAGTTTTTAATATCCAATTAAAGTATCTATGCTAGAATCACTATCATCTGAACTAATAAATCTATGTTTTTGTGGAGATGCATGGTGTAGTGAATACATACATGATTCCATTTCCTTAACTTTAAATAAAACTTGTTTAAAACAACTCTGACACCAATAAAACATATTTTGATATACTTCTGATAGCATTAACTTACTCTCAAAAACAATATGATAATGTTCAAATACTGTACGTAACGATTTTTTATGTAATTTGTGAGCTAAGTTGAACTTCTTAAAACAATTTTTACAAACATTAATATTATAATTAGTGATTCTATAAAAATAATTCCATACACACTTTTCATTATCATCATCATATCCATGATCAGATTCATTGGCTGATAAAACTGCATTTCTCATTCGTGGTGACATTATATTTGAACAGTCAACAAACTGAATGTCGGCAAAAGGTCCGTTAGGGGCTTGCTCGTTTAGTATATTCCATTTATAATCGGAATAATTATTTGCAATCGTTTTAGTCAATATCCATGGTAGTGGTGAATATTTAATGAAGTTTGCTAGATTGGTAATATTACAACATATTGATTTTATGCACAAGTTTTCTAACTTTGATGCCATTATCTGCAAAATAAAAAAATATGATGTATTATAATGTCCTCAGAGAAGCATCCATTTGCCTTATAGAACTAATATTTGAGTCAGAACAGAAACAAAAAGATCAAAACCAGACTAAAACATGTTGCACATATAAACGAAAAAATCGAGAAATCAAGACTCTAGATAAAAGCACAAAGTTCGCACAAGATTTTATCTCTGCAATGCAAGAGACATTTTTTTTTATATATACAACTTCTCTTTTAAATGGTTCAAGCACTTGAAAATAAAGAAAGGGAAGGCTATTGGGTCAGATGATATTCCTGGGAAACTGTGGATACAGTATCAAAGACAGAAACAAGATGGCCAACAGGTTTATTTAGTATAATTATAAAAGTTGGACAAACGCCAGATGAATGGAAAAGCAGTGTATTAGTGTATATTTACAAAAGAATACTACTTAGTCACACCGTGAAAAATATAGTAGAGAGCAATTGACGGATACGTGAAGAAGCCAAAATATCTGATAAACCAGTTTGGTTTCATACAATTATAATAATTATTAGACAGTTGAAGGAAAAATACAGGAACAAAGAAAATAAAATAAAACAACAAAAAAATATATATCTAAGAGAAAAAGAGATCTCTAAAGTATTTTAGTTTAAAAAAGACTAAGTTTTCAATCTAACAGCACATAAAAATAATATTTAAAATACCATGTTACAAATATAATCAAAAACAAAAAATCAGAAAACAATCAATAAATTAAAACAATAGTTATCACTTACTTCTATTTGCAATGTACCAACAGAACAGAATTAAACTGGAACTGGAATACACTGGCTTTCTTGAATTTCGTGTATTTTATATCATTGTCTAGTAGTAGTAAATTAACATTGTAATGGATCATTAATTGCATTTTCATAATAATATATAAATTAGCTTGACGTATTTTGTTAAGAAAGTTTCTAATTTTCCGTATATCAATTTTAACTATAGGAATATTACAAGGCCCGTATGATTTTTCTATCATTGTAATCTGTTGGCTAAATCCTAATATTTGCATGTAAGGTTTTTATAATATTTAATTTGCCTATATCGTTCAATTCTATTTATTAAATGCGATCATATCTTTGCACATCTCTCTACGCAGATTTTCTTTTCTTTCTTTTGGTTTTATCCGTTTCGAATATTGAGGATCATTCTGGATATAATTATTTTATTAACTAATGCTTTAAATATATTAGTTGTTGTGAGGAACCATTTGCTCAGGTTCTTCTTCCAATTCCTCGCCTTCCGAATGCTTTTACTTGAAGGCTTATCTTAAATAAACTAAAAGACTTTTGACATAAAATTTTGCGTTATTTCTTCGCTTATGAGTACAGAGCTTCTTTTAGACACTTTATTGAATCGATTATAGTAGAATATTAAAAAGAGTTTTGCTAAATTTTTGAAAAGATTGGACATAAAATCTGATTCTTGATCTGATGCAATAGATTCTAGAGTACTAAATGTACAAATGAATTTTTCTATGAACCCTTGGCTTATAGTCTCAGATTCGTGGTTCAGAAAGTTTTGTAGGATCGTTTTGAAGAGTAGGATAAAACATTATATATAAATTTGGAAATTCGGGAATACATATATACGTGTACACAAGTTACGAATATACGCAAAGATAGAACTAATATTTTAGTCAGAACAGAAACAAAAAGACCAAAATCAGACTAAAACATGTTGCACATATAAACGAAAAAATCTACAAATCAAGACTGGATAAAAGCAGAAAGTTCGTACAAGATTTTATCTATGCAATGGAAGAGACATTTATTTTTGTTATATACCAATTCTCTTCTAAATGGTTTAAGCACTTCAAAAATAAGGAAAGGGAAGGCTACTGGGTCAGATAGACCCAACACAGACAGAAAATATGGTAGAGAGCAATTGACGGATACGTGAAGAAGCCAAAATATCTGATAAACCAGTTTGGTTTCATACAATTATAATTATAAGACAGTTAAGAAAGTTTCTAATTGTTCCGTATATCAATTTTAACTATAGGAATATTACAAGGCTCGTATGATTTTTCTATCATTGTAATCTGTTGGCTAAATCCTAATATTTCCATGTAAGGCTTTTATAATATTTAATTTGCATATATCGTTCAATTCTATTTATTAAATGCGATCATATCTTCACACATCTCTCAGATGGATTTTCTTCTCTTTCTTTTGGTGTCTATTCGTTTCGAATATTGACGATCATTCTGAATATAATTATTTTATTAACTGATACTTTAAATATATTAGTTGTTGTGAAGAACCATTTCCTCGGGTTCTTCTCCCAATTCCTCGCTTTCCAAATGCTTTTACTTGAAGGCTTACCTTCAGTAAACTAAAAGACTTTTGCTATAAAATTTTGTGTTATTTCTTGGCTTACGAGTAAAGAGCTTCTTTTAGACACATTTTTCTGTCTCTGTTTTATCTCGCGTTTCTTTGCAACAGATTAGAATCCCGCACCAGAGACACATTTTTAAGTTTATTTATACATATTAGTTTTTTTCTAATATATTGTTGTATTTTTGATTACATTCGTAACTTGTAATTAATGTCAATACGAAAATAATGCGAGTGTTACGTACAAATATTATATTAAGACATGCAATTTGGGAAAATAAGTGTACACTAATAAAATACAAGTTAATTCATATTATCTACAAACTTTCCATCAATTTTGTGCATAATCGCTATAGAACTAATATTTAATGATCTTTTAGTAGAATATTAAAGAAACTGTTACTGCTAGACATTGATATAAATTTGGAAATTCGGGAATTACTAAAATATTAGTACCTATTCTAGTTTGAGAGCAAGAAAAATCAGTTTCTAGTCTGTTAAATTGATTACAGTTAATATATAGGCAAATGATTCTTTATAAATTATTTTTTACTTTTATGTTTAAAATTACAATACAGTTTATGGTTCTAAGTTCTTATCTGTATGTCTCGATTTTTTTTTCCTTCCAGCGTATCGTAGCGTTGTATCAGGTTAGAGTCTCGCACAAGAGACACGTTTTTGTAATTTTATTCATACATAGTAGTTCTTTCATAATATTCACTCTTTCTTTTATTATATTCGTAATTTGTATACATTTTCTTTGTCGAATTACTCTAAACTAAAAGACTTATGAAATTTTGCGTTATTTCTTCTCTTACGAGTACAGACCTTCTTTTTAGATACATTTTTCTGTCTCTGTTTTATTTCGCGTCTCTTTGCAATAGATTAGAATCCCGCACCAAAGACACATTTTTAGGTTTATTTATACATACTAGTTCTTTTCTAATATCTCTCTGTCGAATTACTCTAAATTAAAAGTCTTTTGCTTTGAAATTTTGTGATTGCTTTTCTCGTACAGACCTGTTTAGATATTTTTTTGTTTTAGTTTTCTCCGTTGCATTATGTTAGCGTCTCGCAACAGAGACACATTTTTTAGTTTAGTTCATACATACTAGTTCTTTTCTAATATTTCATTCTATTTTCGCTTATATTTGTAACTTGTTTATACGTAGTTATGTAATTTTCTCTGTCGAGTTATTCTAAACTTCTTTTAATTTGAAATTTTACGATCTTTTTTCTCTTACAAACCTTCTGTTTTAGACACATTTTTTGTTTGTTTCTGTTTTACCCCAATACTCATTGCATCAGGTTAGTCCCGCACCAGAGACACATTTTGTTTTAGTTTTATTCATACATGTTAGTTCTTTTCCAATATCTTGTTTTTGAATATAGTCATAACTTGCATATTATCTAATTTTTTCAGTCGAATTTCTCTAAACTAAAAGACTTTTGATTTAAAATTTTTGTTTATGTTTTATTATGAGTTTCTTAGCATGTATTGTTAAATTTTAGTTTTCTTGCGATTATTTTCAATCTTGAGAAAAATTGCTGTTTTGTAGAGAGTATGATTTAATAAATATGTGACTGCAAATATGCGGTATAAAAAATATGATGCGATTTTTGAATTTACTTTATTTACAGACTTGTTCTAAAAATTTTCCGAATGGGAATCATCAATCCTGTATTGGTACATAACAAGCAACAGCTTATTTCAGCATGTCGGTACTTTGCAGGGCTCGAATATGTATCATACGTTCAACGATATACATGGTCCACGAAACCCCTTGCCGGTGATGATACTGAATTTATGGAACAGCACATTACAGGAAATTACCTTTTGGATGCTCCAGAAGTCCATATTCGGAAAGAAGGAGGGCAACTGTATTGGTATAGGGAACTACAAGAATAATTCCTTCAAGAATAGAAAATAGATATACGATATGTGTATATGTACAAAAAAATGTATTATTATTTTTTATTCTATTACTTATATATCTAATGTTTTTTATGACGTGTTGTGTTTAAATTTTTTCTAATTGTACCTTTCGCCTTCTTTCCTTTCCAATTATCCCTCATACGTTACGACTGGGCTAATAGGCGTGAAGTTACATATCTAATGTCTTTATGGCATGCTATTTAATTTCACTATACATTCTAGTCTATTGAGACAGCTTTGAGAGTTTAATTCTTTGTTATTAATATCCAGTTAAAATATGTCTATTTTGTCAAAAATCTAATGCCTATATGGCATAAAAATATGTTTAATCTTTCTATACCATTTAATTTTATACGTCTATCATATGATATCTCGCTCATCCCTGTACGTTAAGTCGTGCAGGATCGCATACCTAAGACCTTTATAGTTCATCTTGACGTATATTTTTTCTATAGATTTGCACCTATCGCCTTCTTTCCTTTCCAATTACCCCTTATCCGTTCCGACTGGGCTAATAGGCGTGAATATACATATATTATGTCTTTATGGTATGCTTTTTAATTTCACTATACATTCTGGTCTATTGAGACAACTTTGAGAGTTTAATTCTTTGTTATTAATATCCGTGTAGGATCAAGACCTCAAGACCTTTAGAGTTCATCTTCACGTATAATTTTTCTATAGATTTGCACCTCTCGCCTTCTTTCCTTTTCAACTACCCCTCATATGTTACGATCGGACCAATAGGCGTAAATATACATATCTAATGTCTTTATGGTATGCTATTTAATTTCACTATACATTCTAGTCTATTGAGACAGTTTTGAGAGTTTAATTCTTTGTTATTAATATCTAGTTAAAATATGTCTATTTTGTTAAAAATCCAATGCCTTTATGGCATTATGATATGTTTAATCTTTCTATACCATTTAATTTTATACGTCTATCATATGATATCTCGCACATCCTAGTACGTTAAGCCGTGTAGGATCACATACCTAAGACCTTTATAGTTCATCTTCATGTATAATTTTTCTATAGATTTGTACTTATCGCCTTCTTTCCTTTCCAACGACCCCTCATACGTTACGGTCGGACCAATAGGCATAAATATACATATCTAATGCCTTTATGGTATGATATGATGTTTAATTTTTCTATACCATTCAATTATATTCGTCTATCACATGTTATCTTGCTCATGCCTCTACGTTAAGCCGTTTAGGCACTACATACCTACAATCGTTATTGTCCATGACTCTTCGGAAAAAGAAGAAGAATGATACGTCGCATATCTCTATACGTTAAGCCGTTTAGGAACTGCAGACCTACAACCTTTATTGTTCATGACTACGGAAAAAATAATTGGCAGTTGCGGAGAGAAGAATTGACAGTTAACAAAAAGAAGAAGAGCGTTCCGCACAGAACTATAAAAATTGCGTTAAAATTTATTTAATATTTTAATTTAAAAAATAGCGCCAACTAGCTTACATTGGACTAAAAATGGCGAACGTTTGGCGTCGCCAACTAGCGTATAGCTGAACTATGACAGTCGGTAATGTAGATTCCTTTGTTTAAAATTTTTAATTTATTTAATATTTTAATTTAAAATTGGATTAAAAATGGCGGCGCCACCTAGCGGACAATAGTTCAATTACGGTAGAGGAGATTCCTTCGACGTGACATCATCTATCTCACTCTTACTCACTAAAAGATCCTTCTCTCTCTAACACATTGTTTTCCCTATGTCTGTAGTGAGGCCCGCCTTGTATATCTACTGGCTTGTAAATAAAATGTTTTGATTATGACTTTAATTACTGAATTTAACACAAAACGTAAAATATTTGATGTAAAATCCAACTATTCTGCTATTTCATCAAATCCTATTATTAATTATCCTGTTGATTTATTTATCTTATTTTATATTTCGTTAACTATTAACTTAATTAAAGGTATTTTATAACAAAATTCAGAAGTATTAATGTTTTTATCTATTTTTCTTTCATTGTCTCGAGTATTTGCGTTAAATCAGAATTGAGTTTTAAAGTTATTAACAAGTATACCTTTTTTTGTTAAAATAATGTATCTTTAACTTTTTTGATCGAAAATACCGATAACTTGAAGTTATTACTTGAAGTTAAGTACAAATGTATGCCACGTATGTGGCATATGTGGCGCCCTCTATTAGCTATATCAAAGTATGCATCAAATTATAATTCTTGATATTGAATAGTAACCAGATGTCAATTTTTATATATAAATGTTTACAAACATGAAAGTTATACTGAAAAATTAAATTTTAAATCTCCACTTTAACACCCTGTATCTTTTTAAGAGCAACATTTTATTAAAGCAAGTTGGCTTATATCATAATATTTTAAAGTGTAGAATTTGCGGTTTCTTTTTGTACAATTCCTTAAGGACCACCCTGTATACAAATTTTCTTTTCAGAAATGCTATTTGTTTACATTTACTATAATTATAACAACTACTGAAACAGTGTACACATGTGCTTAAAAAATAAGGTTTAACGCTTAGTAGTACACAAAAACAAAGTTTGTATAATGTTCAAATAGCTACAGAATTATTATTTCAGCCTCATAAAATGTTTTTTTCTCGGTGTACAATTCAGACATGTCCGTTTTTCTGATTACTTCCGATCTCTAGTACGTTTGGTTTTTCAAAAGGAAAGGTATTTCCTTTTAAACTGTCGTCGTTTACTCGCCCATAAATTTAACTGCGTCAGTGGACCCTTAATCATCAAAAAACTAAATCAAAATCAAAATCATCAATAATTCACTACGGGCATCAGCTGTTTCGAAATGATCAACTGGACATTCCAAACTCTATAAAGCCGTATCATCAAGTAGTCAAGGAGACACGATTCGTTTTTTTTTAAACTTGAATCTAACAAACCCACAAACATAGCCATAATATAAAAAAAAAGCTTTATACACTTACAGTAAAGTGAAAAACTTAGTGTTAAATGCTAAAATAAACGAAATTTTTCAAATGGTTTACAATTTCATTAGAACGTTTTGGGATGAACACACTGTCAATGAATACCTAAAATTTTATAATTGTGTTTTTCACTCCAATTAATGTATTTTTTAAATTTTATTATTGTTGTAATATTCCAGAAATATGTTTCAATGAAAATGTCAACGTTATGTTCTTCATTTGCTTCATTTTCATTTATTTCTTTTATTTGAGCAATATACTATTATACCAAATTACACTTGCGTGACAAAATAAAAGCAAGAATTTTTTATTCAAACATGATAGTAAAAATGTTCATTCAAGCAATAGAAGCGTATTTCCTATTTTTCAATGTTGAATATCATCACTAATACATTGACTAAAAACTATCTTACAAAAGTCAAGTAAATTTCTAGTATGTAACCACACAATATCCCGTAACTTAAAAGTAATTTACTAATTTAAAATAATGATGACAAGGTATCCACTTACATAAATAATAAAAATATCCTAAAAATAAAAATAACTATTATAAACTCCAATGTATGAAAAGTAGGTGTTTTTACCTCTTAATTAATAGATACTACATACATAAAATTCATGTGTTTTTCCAGTTTTCAAAAAAATATAAATTAAAGTCGGTTTTAAAAAGTGTCACAATAAAAAATACGGTCCACCTGTTTGATTAATATCCAAAAAACTGAAAATGGTAAATACTCTAGCTCCCTACCTTCTAATTCCACAACCTTCCCTGCTCTTTTTAGAGCCTTCACAGCCTCGTCGTGTGTCGCCTCCCTTAAATCATCTCCGTTGACCGACAAAATAGCATCCCCAACGTACAACTGCTCCGTCTGATCAGCTGCCATCCCTTTGAAGATCTTACTAATGAGTATCGGCATCTTATTCTCCCGTCCGCCCTTAATCGAAATCCCCAAACCATTATTCTCCGACTTGATGACACGCACCAATCTCTTCTCATTAGCTACGGCCTCCGGTATGTCAGGTGTATCGCTTAGACCGGAAGGAGTTTCTATGTTATTGTTTAGGGTTCCGTTAAGAGTTGTCGTGTTTTCGTAGGATTCGTCGAGAGTGATACTCAGATAGTCTTCTTCGAGGGTAACAAACACACGATACCACTGACCGCGAACGTGAGTCTCCAAAATACCGGATCTACCGAAAAAGCCGGGAGACGTCACTTCTTCACTCATTTTCACATTTGACACTAGCCGCTTCCGCCTGTTGTCAACAATAATAACACCTGCACTCTCGTTTACTATACCGATCAGCTGATTCGGTCGAGACAGCAAAGAGAGAGAAATTTTAAGTCACTCGCTAGTAGACTGACCGACGTGATCACATCTTTTACGTACGCACTCGATGGCACGCTGGTTGGCCTGCGGCCCACTGCTTACTGGTGCTCCTGCTACCGCTACTCTTCCTTACAGTTACGTTACGGATCAGTGCGGTGGTAGCGATGTTTAGATTGCCGGACTCGTATTTTACCGATGATTCGGCGCGTCAAGACCCCTTCGGTCGTCATGGTAACGAGCGTCCCACGGGGTTTTTTCAGCACTTTGATCTGAATGATAATGTGACCGTGTGCGCCATCTATTCGTTACTTTAGAAACTATCTTGATTAGTTAGTAATCTCTATAGTCGACGCAAGATTTACACGAAGCGCTCTCGGTAGAGGGCTTCATATTAAATAAGTTTTTAAAATTCGTAATTTTAAGATAAAAAGTGGTATTCGATAACCATGTGACTTATTATGAACAAAAAAATTGTAAAACGTAGACTGAAATGCTCAAAGAAATATGGTTCTTCGGGTGAGAATTTTTTAATTTTAAATTCTTCATTTATTATATACAAAGTTCTGTGTACTATTTAGAAGATATCTATTATGTCCAATATTTAACAAACTATTACGAGGGTGGGCGTTTTCGACCATATCTGAAGTAGTAGTAATAGTTTTTGACTAGACAACGCCTAAGTTTTGCTTTTAATATCTGTAGGCTAGGTAGTAAATTCCAATAGTTCATTACGATTAACTTTAATGTTACTAGAACTCAAACGAGTCTACCTTAATATTTGGATATTGCGCAAGTATGAATTTATCTAGTAATATGTAGTATAAACCATAACTATGATTAATGTTATGGCTTGTTTTTCTTTGTTTATTAATGATAGTTTCACCATAAAGTTCCCTATATCTTAGCTTTTCTTTTTCCTAATTTACCATTACTATCTATAAACATTCCATAGCAAGACATTCCCTCGTCACATAGCGTCCACTACTAAACATAGACATTTCGAAGTTGTTCCTAGTATTCCCGAGATTTTGCCCTATAAATTCAGTTTGTTAGTAACCATCTATATATGACTGAAATCTAGGACGCGACTCTATTTTGTGTTTAGCCATTAATTAATTTAGTATCATATCTCGCCACGTGACAAGCCCAGTTCCAATTAATATGTGCTATCCTTTTTACAGTATATATAATCCCTGTTCTAGATTGTATAGTGACATTTGGAACTCTATCTCTTAACGTTAATCCCATTATCATTGTTATACTTCGGTTGACACAAAGTTTAGTGTACTTTACTCTTGGGATTCTTTGAGACTATCTGAAATCAGCACATTATTTTCAGCGAAACATAAGAGGTTTATTCTTTCACCACTGGTGTTCATTCTCATGTTCTCCCACTCCTTAAGTTGCTTAAACAGATATTCCAGCAGGACTGTAAATAGTTTTGTTGTAGAGATATCACCTTGCCGTACTCCACATTTCACTTTAAATGTTATGTATTAGTGTGAAGTTTGAGACTTGCTGATGCGCCTTTATATAAATGGTGATTCATTTAGAGGTACTTTTTTCAACAAGAAAAAGCAATGAAAAAAATAAATTTTATTTGAAAATATTTATTATCATACACAAGAACCATTCTTTACAATTACTTCTTAAATATAATTTCTTTTAAATGTTGGTCATGACTACGATTAAGTTGGTTCATTCTGAAGTTTTAGTTTTCGATGACTCGTTCCAGCATTTCGATTGGTATTTTACCAATGACTCGAATAATATTGGCCTCCAATGCCTCAATTGTACCTAATTTATTCATGTAGACATTGGGCTTTAGGTAGCCCCAAAAGAAAGAGTCAAGAGGTAAAATGTCACAGGATCTAGGCGGCCAATTCACTGGTCCAAAGCGTGAAATAATTTGTTCATCGAATCGTGCTCTCAATAAAGCCATGCTTTCACGAGCTGTATGGCAAGTGGCGCCATCGTGTTGGAATCAAATGTCGCCGAGACCACGAGCTTTAATTTCAGGTACCAAATAGACTGTTATCATGGCACGATAACGGTCTCCATTTACAGTAACATTCTGGCCGCCCTCTGTTTTAAATAAATATGGACCAACGATTCCACCAGCCCATAAACCACACCAAACAGTTGTTTTTCAGGGTGTAATGGCAACTCTTGAACCTTTTTGGGTTGTTCATCACCCCAAATACGAACATTTTGTTTATTAACGTACCCATTAAGCCAAAAATGGGCCTTATCTGAAAACAAATTTTTTCTCGAAAACAGCGGATCTTCTAAAAGCTTATCAAGAGCCCATCGACTGAAACGGTGACGACTTGGAAGGTCAGTTGGCTTCAGCTCTTTCACTTATTGAATTTTGTATGCTTTTAAACCAAGATCTTTACGTAGAATACGCCAAGTTGTTGCATATGACCATCCAAGCTGTTGAGATTCTTCATTATTTTCGAGTACACTATCTGTTACCTCCACTATATGTGGTCTATTGGTCGCATCTTATCCAATAATGAAAACTGGGTTTTAAACTTACTAATCGTAAAGCGAATTGTACGTTCGGTAGGCCGATTATGTGGACCATAAATTGCTCTAAGCGCACGAAACACATTCCTCACAGAACTCCCATTTTCAAAGTACAAATTAATAATTTCTAGACGCTACGTCGGGCTAAGTCTTTCCATCATGAAATGTCAAACAATACTGTACAAAAGCGAAATGTCAGTTTGATAGTATTCAGGCACGATCTCCAATCAAATCCCCACCAAAAAAAGTTCCTCTATATCAGTGAATCACCCTTTATATTTTAAATTATTGTTGTATATATTAAGTTCACTCTACGATCAGCTAGTGTAATAATTATTTTGCATCAATCTTGGTCCACCGAGTCAAATGTTTTCTTTTAGTCCACAAATATAAAAACCAGGGTTCCACTGTTTTTCTGTAAGTGTTTTTTATAACTAGTAAATGGTTATTTTTACCATAATTGGATCTGACACCTGTTTGTTCTTTTAAGTTTACAGATATCTAGTTTGGAGGTTAATCATCTTATTGGCATATTTATGAATAATTTGTATACATGAGAGAGAAAATTAATCAAAACGTAATTTTAAGTTCCCTAGGGTCGACTTTAACTCGTCTACGGGTCGACTAGTATGCATGATTACCATAATTGTCTTTTTTCATGATGTTGTGATTCTTCCAGTTGATAAACATCTATTAAATAACCCCATCTCCTACTGCAGTTGAGATGAATATTTGGATTATTTTGTCTTGTATCTGATGTTACTGTACCTTCTGAGTCACGGAATATCTTTTATTCGGAAATACGGAAACACGGAAATAGTATTTGTATTGTATTCTTTATTAAGTTTCTGTATTAAGATTTATTTGATTATTTGTTTATATTCTGTTGAATCCTTGAATTCCATTTGTCGTCGTTTTTGAGTATTGTCCTATTTAATCAGATGTTTTATTTTGTTCATTACAACATCTGTCTACGGTTTATTTCAGAATAGCTACTTACTACTGGATTATTTATATTCTGCAAGTTTATGCTCTCTAGTTTTGAAGGTCATCTTCCACATACTCTGCTTATTTAGAATGGATTTTTGAGAATATTCACTTCTTCAACTTCTTTCTTTTGGTAAGTTTGGTTCTTCCTCTTTGTAATATATTACTGTTTTTGTTCTCACAGCTCGATTGTTCCTATCTGCTGAAAACTTACTCAACACGCTCACGTCTCGAACTATTTATTTTCGATTAAATAACATGTAATCTCTTTCATTTTTAGTGATACCCTCTGGACTTATTCATGTCTATTATCTAGTGAAATCCTTTTTTTAAGGTATTCATTATGTAAAGGTTATGTTCCATGGCGAACTGAGCTTGGCAACCCATTGCTAATTCTTTTTTATCTTCATTTACACCTATTTTCGAGTTGAAATAACAAATTATTGTTGTATAGTGGTCTTTTGAATTATTCATTTCACTTGTACTTCTTCTTCTTCTTCTTCGTCTAGCCATTCACGTCCACTTCTGAACATAAGCCTCTTCAAGTCTTCCTTTCCATTGTTTTTTATTGTACGCTACTTGTAGCCAATTTTTCCCGGCAGTCCTTTTCAGATCATCTGTCCATCTCATAGGAGGTCTACCTCTGGGTCTGTTGTGTTGGTATGGTCTCCAGGTTAAAATTGATCTGTGCCATTTGTTTAGATCGCTCCTAGCTACATGTAAAGCGTATTCCCATTTCAACTTTAATGATTTTTGCACCACATCGGTGACTTTGGTTTTCTGTCTTATCCATGTGTTTGTTTTCTTGTCATTAAGTGATATACCTAGCATTGCTCTTTCCATCGCGTATTGAGTGACTCATAAGTATATTCATATTCTTTTTTGTGATTGTCCATGTTTGTGCCGCATAAGTTAATATCGGAATAATGCATGCATCAAAAACTTTAGATCTAAGATGTAATTGAATTTGTTGATTTCTGAGTATATAGTTCTGTTTACCGAATGCTGCCCAAGCTAACTTTCTTCTTCTTTTTATTTCTTCAGTCTGAATTTCCCTATTTAAGATTATTTTTTGTCCCAAGTAGGTATATATATTCTTCAACTTTTTCTATAACTTTATCGTTTATTATTGTCACGGTGTCTTCGGAGTGCATGACTTTTGTTTTGTTTAAATTCATTTTCAGTCCTATTTTAGAAGATTCGGTATGTAGTTCTAAAAGCATGGTTTGCATTTTTTGTAGGTCAGTAGCTACCAGGATTATGTCATCTGCAAATCGTAGATTACTAAGGTAGCGGCCATTGATGTTTATTCTCTTATATTTCCAAATTAGATTTTTAAAAACGTCCTCGAAAACTAAGGTGAACAGTTTGGGTGATAA